TGGTTTAGTGCCAAAAGTGAGTTCAGCCATCAGATTTTAAAAAAGAAAAAAAAAAAAAAGTAGCATTATGAAAACATTTTCCCACTGGGAAAAGCACAGGTTTAACCTAGGACATCTCCCAGTGCCAGCAATCCAAATGCTCTCACTTTTCTAGAAGTAAATTCCAGTAACACCTACTTTAAACAGTGAAAGACCTGGAAATTACATGTCTTAAATACCTATAAAGAACTGAATAGCTTTCATAGTTTTCCTGGAAAATTCCAGATGTTTCAGAGACTCTTACTGCACAACCATATTTGAAAGCTTTTAAAGGCCCCATAAGAAAAATGGGAAAGAATAATGGCACACACCCAGAGGCAGAAGGACTCACACTTTAAGAGAACAAGGACTGCACATTCTCCCGCAGTGTGATATGCTGCATGCATGAACAAATACCAAACACCAGACTTCACCATTTCCTTATTGCCAGCAAAGGGATAATGAAGTCCTGAGCATCTCTTACTATACCATACAGGCTCACTGATGCAACAAGATGTTAACATTTTTCTGTCCCCAAGGCTTCAGTCACATAATGACCCTTCTGCTTTTGTACTTTGTAAACAGGAGAAAATCAACAAAACCCTTTGCACCCCACCAAGATAAATCTCACAAGAAACCATGCTTAGGATGAGCTCATCAGCTATGTTAAATGAAAGCATTTCAATAATAGCAACAAAGAATTAATCTCTCAAATGAGGGAATTCATTATTTTACCATCAGAATTTTGATACTGCATAATAAATGAGCTTGAGAACAACATTTTAAGGCATGGCAGAGATGAAATACCGAATATCTGCTTATTAAGGAAACAGTCGACCTCCTTTTGTGCAATGGGAGAACTGAGGTTCCTGGAAGCAAAAACGTATGACCACTTAAGCACTGTGCCTTTACACAGCACACAACAGTGTCAGTTACAAATGTAGAAACAACCTTAATTTTTCCAGGACCTGGATTTTCCATCTGACACCTTTCCATACTTCTCATGCAGATTTCATGCTCAACTTGGTGGGCAGGAATCCTTATTAGTAGAACTAAACTTTTGCTTTATTCCTCACAGCACATAAGGCTGGTCAAAGACACGATGGGCCAGAGACGCTTTCCTCTATTACTTTGAGAACTGAGTATGCAGCATCTACTGAAGCAGTTCATGCTCCATCTCAAGTATGGCCTAAATACAAACCTGAATTCTGTCTTGAAGCCAAGCCATTTGGACAGAGAGAGGACCATGCTAACACCCTTTTTGGTTGAAACCCACCTTTGTGAAGATAGATAGCCTTGAGCTCTTGCTACTTTTCAGCCTAGGCTCAGCAATGCTGACTCTCTGAAGCATGTGTAAGATTTGCAGGAAGCCAAACTACAGGCATTGTTTCACTAGCAGCCAAGATGCGTAGAGTTACAGAGCATGTACTAAGGTTCTTTTAGGCCTTGGGTCTGTCACAGTGATGGAAAAAATCATGTAAATAAGTAATTATGGATCATTACATGAAGGAAGCAGTTAGCTTTTGCTGCTGAGGTGTGCAGCTATATAACACAAACAAGGTCATCTGTTTGTAGAAGGCAGTATTTCCCCTAGGAGCACTGGAGACTGCACTGATGGTTGCTCTATATGTCGAGCTGATGGTATTAGCAAGGTAACAGACATTAGCTATCCAGCCTCACCACCAGGGTGCTAGCAACAAGACCTGACCTACCAGGCAGAGGGGCACTAAAGGATTCTTGGCAGGAGTGTTGAGATTCCAAGCCCAGATCAGCTCAGAAAGCAAGCTGCATATATGCATCTGGAGGTAGAAGGAAGCTGGAGTACACACCAGTTATGTTCTTTACATACTTTCAGTCCATTTTCAGTATCAGATGCTGGACTTTATTATTGGGTAGGAGCAGGTCCAGATATCAGATATTTCAAAGTGTCGTGTCCAAATGTCATCCTTAAAAATTCATTTACAAATGAAAATGTTGCTTACTTTTAATAAAGAAAAAAAAAAAAAAAAGAAAGACTGTTGTATAATTCATAGAATCACAGAATCAACCAGGTTGGAAAAGGCCTTTAAGATGACCATGTCTAACCATTGCTCCAGCACTGCCAAGGCCACCACTAAACCATGTCACTAAGGGCCCATCTACACAGTGTGTGAACACTTCCAGGGACTGTGATTCCATCACTGCCCTGGGCAGCCTGTTCCAATGGCTGACCACCCTTCTGGGGAAGAAATTGTCCCTAATATCCAGTCTAAACCTCCCTGGCACAGCTTGTAGCCATTTCCTCTCACTTCCTCCTTGGGAGAAGAGACCAACCAGCTCCTGGCTCCATCCTCTTTCCAGGTAGTTGTAGACAGCGATAAGGTCCCTCCTGAGCCTTCTCTTCTCCAGACTAAACAGCCCTAGTTAAATTCATTCTACCCTTTTGCAAAGTAATTTCTGTGCCCAGCTGCCATGCTGGGCTAGGGAAATACTTATCTCTATTTAACACACTGGATTTAAAACCTGAAGTTAGCACATGCTAACTATGTACACGCATACCAGACAGAATCTCTTTTTCAGTTTTCTCCTTCCCTATATTTCTATTTTTACAGGAGTTGGTGGAGAAATTAAGGTAATCTTTAAATAGACAAGTAATGAAGGAAATAATTTAGCCCTTTTTTGCTATTATTTCAACATTTGTTTCACATTTCTAGCCACCAGTGCTTGGAGACAGAGTCTTGTGTATCTTCAAATCCACCTTTTTGTCAGGACAAAGTAATTGCCTTCTTTCACAGATCTCTCAAAATCAAAAAAAAAAAAAAAACTTTAAAACCCAATACAGCTCCTTTCTATGGCTTTATCCATCTTTTCTAATTCTGAAGAAACCAACTTCATCTTTCAAATGCATGCTACCTGGGATTATCCCCAAGAGAAAAGAACCATGGGAGACTAAGCAGTGTTTTTGCAATGCATGTCACTCCCCAAAACAGGAATTCCTGTTGATAATCTCAAAGATCACCCACCACATCACTAGAAAAGCTTTCAACGCCTGTTCCAATCCAGAGATTTCAATGAGGTGAAATAACATTGCTCCAAGTATCCCTGTTTATCCTCTCTTCAGAGCCAACCAGTTGCCATATGGCTCAGGAGTCAATCCATTTTCAAGAGCCTTCACCACTCAGTACTTAGCCTGACTCAGCAAAATCGAGGTAGCTGACAGTATCCCAGTGAAATCCCCATTGGCTGCATGTTTCATCCAAGCTATGTGCATCTTACACATCAAGTTGTGAATTCTAGAATGGATCGCCTTGGATTTGTAACAGAAGGCATCCCAGATTTTTTTAAATGTTTTTACAGCAGTTTGCCCAACAGAAAGAAAGCTTAATCTGCTTCTGGGAACTCTTCAGTGATCTACCAGAAGAGACAGTGACCAGTGAAAATAGGACATCAGACCATCTGCCTGCAACTCAGACATTCATTACTCTTTTTTTCACTCCTCGTATCTAATGCAGACCTTTGTTATGGCTTAGAAACAGTTCAACCTATAAACATACATTGAACATATACTGCACACATTGATATCTTTATATTAATATATTACTCTAGATACATACTCATAAAATACATTATGAAACAACAAATTTTGATGAGGTAGGGGTTCTGCGTCTCCCTGGTAGCCAATACCCTCTTTTAAATGAGCATATGAATACCTTTCTCTGGCAGTGTCATACTTAGATAATTCCCTGTAAGTACTTTTTGTTTTTTTTTAGAAGTGTAATCCAGAATTTCTTTATTTGCTGAACAACTCTTAATTTCTTTTTACAAGATGCACTATGCCATCACAACAAGTCATCCTTGACCTTTCTTTCTTCATGAATCATAAAGATTGTGTCAGAAGTTTGACCCAGTGCAGACACAGTTTTGTTTGTGGACAGCCTCCCTCAGCCCTTAATGAGACTTTGAAGCTTTCTCCCAGACATTTTCTTAGGGCACTGTAAGCTGTGCAGTGGTAGGCCCTGCACAGGGAACATCTCTTATACTGACCAGGACTTCCTCATTCTGTCTACAGATATTTCCTATTGTTCTTTTTCATATGGCACAAGTCAACACACAGGCATTCATCATCAGAAACCTTTCCTCCAAACATTACCCACATTTCTTTCAAAGTTATCTGAGCTCCACGACCTCTTCTTATAAAACCATATTATTATACAAAGACAATTTTGACTCTGTCTTGAGGATGAGGCAGCAAAGCTGCCTTCTCCCTCCACACACCAATCACTAAAAGCTTATGTATGATAACAGTGGGGTCAGCCACCTTAAATCTAGCTTATTTCTCTGGTAAAGGTTTGTTTTCTACATTTCAATCTCTCTCAGTCCTCACATTTTTTCATTTCCTTCTCACACCAAATTGTGTCATTACAAGAACATCATCAACTCAAGCAGAAGAGAGTGCTTGCCAGTGTTAAGTCCCTCAGATAAGCAAAACTTTCTTTCAGATGAATCAATTCCCAGTGAGTAGTGGAAGCCTAGATATGAAAACTAGAGCAGATTTGTCACCTGTCAACGCAAGAAAGCCTTGGAAACAATACAAAAGATACTTGGACTGTATCTCTCAGAAACACACTGAATTAAGACCCTTCTTATACACCAGAAATGTAAGCTTGGAAAGCATCCTGAAAAGGAAAGAGAAGCTTCTAACATTTAAAATAATGTGAGCATTTAATAGATTATGAAAAATAGTAATAATTTTTCTCCCCTCATCATGAACTATTTCAACTTTACAAGGTTTTTCTGTACGGGAGATGTGTTTAAACCTCCCATACAGAAGGGACAGAGCTCGAGGGACAGTGCACAAGATTAGAAAGTTCAGTATGGTGAAGAAATTACCTGGCTCTATGGAGCCAGGGAACTGGTCTCAATTCAGCTGTAAAGCTGAAACCTGTAGCTCTCCACTGAGCATTATGAGATGCCCAGTGTGTGCTGAAAGCCAGATCCCTTACCTTGTCTCGAATCCCTTGTCTCATAACTTCTCTTTCAGCCTCCATCTTGGCATATTTGGCTTTTCTCTCTTCCTCTTGTTGCCTAAGAGCTTCCTGTCGTTCCTCTTCTTTCTTGGCAGCATCTGGGTCTTTCTCCTCATCCCCACCCAGCATCTTCCCCATGTCTTTGGTAGCCCCTAGGGAAAGCACAAGACAAAGTCAGCCCTGTAAGCATGTGGGAAAACCACCATGATTCCAGCTCTTTCCTTCCCCACAGCCAGGACCTCCTTCTGCTGGAAATGCTTTTTCTTCTACTGTGAGGGAGGCACACTCCACACAGAAACAGGGGATAGCTAGTGCACCCAGTCTGACCAGGTGGGTTACCTGGCACTGGTGTCAGAAGCAGGGCTGCAAGAGAAAGACACTGCATCTGTAGTCCTGAATGAAAGCAACATAATTTGTTTCCAGTCCCGAAATGGGTAAGCTGCCATCCACATGATGTTTTCACTCCATCAGCTCAGCCATAAATTCTTAGAATGGTTAGGGATGGAAAGGACCTTAAGGTCATCTAGTTACAGCCCCTCTGCCATGGGCAGGGACACCCAACGCTAGAACATAAGGCCCAAGGCTCCATCCAGCCTGGCCTTGAACACTGCCAGGGATAGAGCATTTACCACTTTTTTGCACAACCTGTAAGGGTGCCTCACCACCCTCACAGTAAAGAACTTCTTCCTTGTGTCTAACCTGAAGTCAAGTGGCTGAAGGTTGATTTTGGAAGATCTTTAATGTAACAGACAGCTGACACATTCAGAAAGGAGTAACACCATGGCTAGGAAAGGAATTTGAAATCTCAGTTGCAGGGATGAGTAATCCCAGTCTTAATTGCTGCCAGAAATTACACATACTATGACAGGTAAGAGCACACAGTATTACCAGACATTCGGAGCTGATCATGATTTCAAGGTTCCTATCACAGACCAGAAAGAAACAGCATCTCTGCATGTCTTTTATTGACCCTTGGACACCAATGCCTCTAATGCTTAGTGTGCAGGTAGAATCCTGGCTCTGCCTTGTGCTCTTTTTACCCCTGCATACGCATTGGTCTCAAATTTTCAGCCCCTATATGCTTCTGAGCCAGCTCTTTGTTATCATGCAAAGCCCTTGCACATCCATTCAAATTGAGATGCCTCCTGCATGCACCTGTCCCCACATGGCTGCATAAATCCAGCTACCCTGTATTTCAGAGGCATTTTTGTTGGCAAATGACTGGCAAAATTCCAGCTGGGGAGGAAAGATGGTGCTGGCAAAAAGGGGGGGGGCATTTACCACCATACTTCACCATCAGGGCACCAGAAGGCTGCAGCAGGACCAAGCTTCGTTATAGGATGAAGTGAAGACACATATCCTTTGGGAGTCATGTACCTTGCTCTAGAGCAGGTACACACCCTGAATCATTTACTAAAGAAGTACCTTCACCCTGAGAGAACACTGGCTGGTTGTATATTTAACATCTCCTACCTTGTTTAAGGCAAAGTTATTGGGCCTTTTCAAAGGCTTAGCCTGGAAGGAGATACTGTGAAAGTCCTTTCAAATCCTTGCTAGTTGCCACCACTGGAGGTTAAATAAAGTGAAGAGGTTTTCACAACCCCTTATCCCTCCCTTATAAATTACCTTTTCATTGTCCCAACAGTGCCAGAGGACTGCTCTTGCTCTTGCATTCCACATCAGTTCTCCGGAAAAACATCTGCAACAGGATGATCCTCCTGAATTGCTCCAGAGATGACAGTTACCAAGTTAACTACTAACTCCAAAAAACATCAAGGAATTCCTTGGGAGGTGAGCAGATACTGTAACTTTACCCTTGCACATTTCTTTTCCAGATCACATGTGGTGAGACACAGGCAGAAGTTGCCCAGAGAAGCTGCGGCTGCCCTGTCCCTGGCAGTGCTCAAGGCCAGGCTGGACGGGGCTTGAAGCAAACTGATATAGTGGAAGATATCCTTCCCTGCGGCAGGTGGCTTGAACTGGATGAGCTTTAAGGTCCCTTCCAACACAAACCACTCTGTGATTCTGTGCTTTTCCAGACCCCTAAATTGAAAGCAGCCCTGAACCAAAAGCAACCGTACAACCTCCCTGTCGTGGTTTAAAACCAGGCAGAGGGCTCATTCACTCACTCCCCCCCTTCTTTCCCTCCCCCTACTCCTGGAGGGACAGAGAGGAGAACCAGAAAGAATGCAACTCCCACAGGTTGACATAATAACAGTTTAGTAACTAAGGTATAACACAAATCACTACTGCTACCACCAATAATAATAATGATAAAGGAAATAACAAGGGAAGAGAATACATCACCTCACCACCAGCCGACCAATAACTCGCCCCCCCAGCCCAACCAAGAACTGACCCATACCTCCTCCAACCCTGCAGACTCCCAGCCCTTCCAGCTAACTCCCAGTTACATCCTGGGCATGACGTGCTGTGGTATGGAATACCTCTTTGGTCAGTTTGGGTCAGGTGTCCTGTCTCTGCTTCCTCCCAGCTTCTCCTCCTCCCTTGCAGAGCATGAAGCCCACAAAGTCCTTGGCCAAACCAAAACATCGTTGTTATCAGCTCTGTTCCCAGGCCGAAAGTCAAAACACTGCACTGCACCAGCTACCAAGAAGGAGAAAAATGACTGCTACTGCTGAACCCAGGACACCCCCCAAAAGTGACAGAGAAATGGCCCCTTTACTTCTCCCATACCAAAACATGGAGAAACTGGTTATTTTAAACATGATAAGATCTGGTTGTATTAACTTTTTTTTTTTTCCCAGGTGATAAATAATAACAATAAAGATGACCATCTTCATTCAGCTAGCTAACCACAAACATTTTGACACTTCCATTCTATTGGGAAAACTGGATAACTAGATGAAGACACCGATGGACCACAAATGATCTCATGGTCCATGGCCATTGTCACCCTTCCAACCCAAAGCCTTCTATGATTCTACGAATCAGATCTTGTCCAAGCATTTTTGTCCAAATCCCTTTGAGGTTATAGAGATGCTTTCGAACTCTTCCCCCTGACTACTGTGACATAAACTTTGTCATCATCACAACCAAAATTTACACAAGTAGGTGAAATTCTTTTAAACAAAATGCAAACTGGACCTCTGTTCTACTGCTCTTAAAACATTGCACTCTTATTTCCAGTCTTCCTTCAGTAGTCAGTACATCTGCTGATTACCCCTGAATGAGCTATACTGGCTGAGAAAGCAGTTTTCACCATCAGGATGAAATTCAGTTCCCAACAGAGATGACACAAGCAGTGTGAGTGTAGCTTCTTCCAGGCATTAAATCTAGACAAGAAATATCAGGCTCCCAAACTTGTTATGTTTGGACAGCAATCCTGTTTTGATATGCTTCCTTCACCCTTATGGAAGAAAGAGGTGTTTCCAGTGCATCAGTAACCTCCTCTGCAGCTAAGATGAGGTGATAAATGATCACTAAACAGCATTTTATGAAGAAGCTAGTTCAGTCTGCAATAAAATGGAGAGTAAGGAGAAGGTATTCTACAGTCAAGACCTAACCTACTGGTATCTAGAAGTTGTTCGGACTTTTTTCAGTACTAGTGCAACACACTTCCATTCCACAATGTCTTGCAAATTTAATTGATTCATCCATGAGTTTTTCTGACTCCCCAAAATGAAACAGCCCCGAACTTAGTACTGATAGCTCATACAACCATAAGGATGACAAGGGAGACAGAGAATCCCCTGTACAAGACTCCAGAGTAATCTGAGACCCCTCCCTAGAGTACTGCATCCAGCTCTGGAGTGTTTGGTACAGAAAAGACATGGACCTGTTGGAGAGGGACCAGAGGATGGCCACAAAAACGTTCAGAGTGGTGGAGCACCTTTGCTATGAGGAAAGGCTGAGAAGGTTGTTCAGCCTGAAGAAGACTCCAGGTAGACCTTCTTGTGGCCTTTCAGTTCTTAAAAGGGGTCTGTAAGAAAAAGGGGGAAAGACTTTTTTAGCAGGGTCTGTTGCTTCAGAATGAGGGGTGAAGGTTTTAAACTAAAAGAGTGAGATTCAGGCTGGATGTGAGGAAAGATTTCTTTACAGTGAGGGTGGTAAAACACTGGCACAGTTTGCCCAGAGAGATGGTGGATGCACCACCCCTGGGGACATTCAAGGACAGTCTGGATGTGATTCTGGGCAACCTGATCTAGTTGAAGATGTCTCTGCTAATTGCAGGGGGGGTGAACTAGATGACCTTTGAACGTCCCTTATGGGGACTTATGTATATTGTGAGCTTTTCAAACATCTCCTTTCTTCAGTCTTTCCATCTGAAAGCAGCCCTGAATCTAGATGCCAGTCTCTCTTGAAGACTTTTTGTTCTGCAGAGGTGCATAATCTAAGGCAGTTCTGATTTCTTACTTTTTTTGAGTCAGCTTCCACCAGACAACGCTTGTCTCAGTGCAGAGTTTGGCAGAATCCAATGGAAAGTTATCAGAATTGAGATGAGCAAAAGATGCCCATGGCAAGGGGGTTGGAACTAGATGATCTTAAGGTCCTTTCCAACCCTAACTATTCTATGATTCTATGTTACAAAAACCATGATCCAAAATATCTCTATTCGGGCTAAGGGTAGTTCAATAATCCTTAATTGCATAGACAAAATTTTTTCTGGTCAAGGATGACAACAAAACAACCTATCCACAAAGAAGCAGTACATACTGTCAACGGGTCAGAATAAAGCCTTTGACTATTCCACACCATTTGGGCAGCCTGGTCTTTCTGTTCCATTGAAAAAGGAAAGACAGAGAGGGACCTGGCCATAGGGCACCAGGCCATCATGTTTTGGAACAAAAATCTTCTTCAATTTAATACAGTAAGTCAATAGCCTGGAAAGATTTTGTTGTCTGTGCCCACACTAACCTGATGCTCTTTGTGACTAAAAAATGTAGCCCTACATCTGTTCTTCATTCGTTTACAACTGGAACAAACAATGCTTTTAGGAGTATTTTGGAAACCAAAGAGTACAGCTCCATGCTTGCTATAGAAAGCAATTTTACAACAAATATATGCACATTTCTTCAGCAATAAGAATGAAGCCGCCTCTGCTATCTGCCTCCTACTCCTTCAACTGGGGAAAAAAAAAGTGCAGGGTCTTTTCCTTCTGCAGTTTTATTAGCAAACAGGTTACTATTTT